AAAATACTTTATAATAAACTTTAAGAATGGTTTTTCTTATTTAAAAAATAGAACGCACGTACTAGGAATATATCCTGTATATCGAGGGACATTTATGAAACGGACACAAAGAACACCCAGAGTCAGAACAACTTTTATGAATCACACAAAGTGTTGTCTCACATGGGACAAACTACTACGCGTATTGAAGTTGTAGTTCATATTTTTTAATTAAATTGAGATAAGATTTTTACGGAAATTGCAGTAATGCTAATGTTTAGCGTAACATGTGTTCATTCGACATTCGAAACTATGTTCTCACCATTATCAAATAACGCTAACAATGCCAACTATACAAATGCAATGAACAATGTAACAACAAAACGTCGAGCAGTGTCCTAGACCTAACTCTTATTTGGCAACCATATAATTACATAACCCATTTCTCAATACCTCATTTGAATGCTAATCGTGTTATAATTGCACACCAATTCATTTTGTATCATTATACAATTATTTTTTAACCTTTTACAACACATACTTCTAAATTGCCTGAAATTAAGTGACTTGAAATTTCAAGGTTAATAAGATTATAATTAGTTTTGCTTACTTTCTTTGCTTAGATCATTAGGTTTCTTTATCAACTTTTAATTTATCGCATTGTCTGTTTCTTCTTATGTCTTAAAAAAGAAAGCAAACAAAATAATGATCTTATTCACCTATTAGCCGTATTCTTGTAAACAATGTAAAGTTTGTGAATGTGTGTGTGTTTGTATGTTTATTACTTCTTACGGATTAATTTTGATAAAATTTATAATATAATATACATAGGCTACTTTTTATCCCGAACAAATGAATGGTTTCCTTGGAATGAGCAACGAATTGAAAAGCTGCGGGGAGCACCGCGGGGCTATATAGGTATATATTAAGATAAAAAATTCTAACTATTTAGACAGTTTCCCCGATTTGGATAGCTGATTACGAATAGCTTACATTAGGACTATTAGACTAGATTGGACAACATACATTCCCATTGTTGTGAGTCCTCGACACTGAAATTGACCACGATACTAAAGATAACATCAAGTAGGACAATCGGCCAATCCTGAAAAGAAAAACGATTTCTTATTATTCCAGGCAGTACTCGAACTATTACAGGATGAGCATTAGTGCGTTGCCTATTAATGCACACCCATTTTGTACATTTAGGTAACATTATGAGATATTTAACATGGACAGTCTTTTTTGATTAGATGTCTTCAATGTAAGCAGAAAATTTGTGGCCTTCTGAAAATTTAGACTAGATATATTTAATGTTTACGTTGTTTTTTATATTGTAAATTTTAGATGTAATTGGTGAACTACCCAGCGTGACGCAAAGAAATTACAAAGATTCCACTCTAATAATTCGTGAATGACAAATTTTATGCTTCCATTGATTATTGCTGCTAAATACCTACTTCTATTTTAGTTTCGGTAGATATTTGTTGAGCTTAACTTGTGACACAGTGTCACCACCGCTAAAAACAACAACTTGTCACGTTCAAAGATAAGTGAGCAACTTCAAATAAATACCATCCTTAAAAATTTTGCAACTAATCAGCTAACATTCTGTAAAGAGTCTTTTGTCAGGTAGCCAAATATGTAGAAAATTATGTTACTGTCAATATCCTGCATATAATTTTAGTGTAAAATAAATATTTAATAATAGGGATTGCCGTTCTATAGTAATAGATACTTTGAATTGACATAATACCTTCATGGCCTGAAATTTTCCTACCTGCAATATTGACTCATTTACATCAAATCAGTAAGATAAAAAAAACATGAAAATGGGTTCTTCATGATTTGACTGATCTGCAGAAAGAAATACGTGTTGAAACTTGTGTTGCCTTGTTGAATCGGTACAGAAATTAAGGAATATTGGATCAAATTGTGACATGTGGCGAAAGGTGTATTATTTATGAAAACCGTAAGTGAAAAATGCAATGGCTGACCCCAGGTCACACGCCGAACTTCTAGCAATGATGGCGAAACTGGCAGTGAAAAAGCCCCGACTGCTCCATGATAACGCAAGACCTCACACTGCACGAAAAAACTCTACAGGAGCTGCAGTTAAATCCATATGTCATCCTCTATACTCGCCAGACCTTGCTAAAACGGACTACCATTTTTTCGTGATTTGGACAATTTTCTACGTGATAAAAAAATCTTCCTGGGAGATTGGTTAAATAAATGTGTTACAGCTTAGAAAAAAAAACGAGTTTCAATTTTTGTCTACAAATCGGCAATTTAATACTTTATCCCCTAACATACATATATGACTCGAACTCAACTCTCCCGCTAACAACTAGCTCGAGTTACAAGTATCCAACCCTTTTTTTGTTAACAGGGTGGAAGATATTCATGCATGTCCTTCGCCCATATGTTTTGATTTTTATTTGACGTGCACATTTATGTATAAAGTGCCGATTAAATTTAATATTTGTTACTTTTAAATTTAATTAATTTAAATCTGCCGCTTTTATTAGATCGTGCTACAATCAACGACCGTGTCTAAAGAAATAGCAACTTCAATGCTAAATTAACTGCACTCATCTAAGATACTGTCTTGTACTGGTCCTATTTATAATTTTAATTGTCTTAGGTATTAGATTGTCCGTGTGGCGAGGAATTAAGCATACTGTGTGTCACCACCCCTATTCATCCCATGGGTGTCGTAAGAGCCGACTAAGGGAGCAAACTACGCAGGACAACAGCCCTGCAACAACTTGAAACAAACCTTATACCGACCCATCTGGCCGGCGGGGTATAGTAAGCCAAAACCTCCTTTCTAAGGAGAAGCTAGAAGTGGACTATTAAAGGCTGTTGATGATGAGGTATAAGATTAAGACCGGTTTACATTGCCGTTTCAAATCTCAAATCGTATGAATTCAGGAGCCATTAACATGAAGCCTTGTTCGGCATTATTTACAAGTGTAATTTGCTGTAAATGTGGTAAGCTTTAAACACCACATTAGATTTCGTTCGTATTAAAGTAGAAGTGATTTCGCTTCACCATCCAGTTTTTATTACTGTTATCTGTACCACTGTACTTTAATCATTTTTGCCACCCATTGTTAATAAAAAATATGTTTTAAATCAGATGCAGACTGTTAGTTAATATTCAATTACCTTATAGTGTGATGTAATCACCGTTGTAATGAGATTAGCTAAGACTATTTTAATCTTCTTGACAAGTAATCACGATGATGACTCGCACGACTTCTGTCTCGTTATATTATTATGTAGAAAATGTTTTAAGTAGAAAATTATCAAACATGTCTTGTTACTAGATACCACAAAGAAAATACCTTTGAATGAATGATGTATATTTTATTATTTTTCATAAAATCCTCAATCCTGTTAAAGCCTAATAAATACATCTATACAAATTAAAACGTTAGTCGCGCCTTAATTGAGTATAATTTCATTAAACAAATCGGTTTTAAACAAACTTCTCATCGTTTTTTATTCTTAAAGGCAGCCGCCATTCTCAGCTCATTGAGACACTACTATTATGTGTTTCATTGTATAAGCTTTCACTATTCGAATCGCACCCATCTACGTATGAAAACCTGAGAGAATTACATTTACATTGAAGTGATTTCTTTGTTTACTTAAATGTACTCGCAAGAGAGTATTGTCTTGCTTGATAGAAATAAAGATATTTATTGCAACATCAACGGCTTATGGCGCTAACATTAAAAACATGTGTTAAGCAATTTTTTTTTACTTGATATCGCCGACACGGCCACACGGCCGTCTGATCTCAAACTGGGCATAGCCTGTGCTATGGTAACTAAACTGCTGATAAACATGCATACATAATTTAGATAAATTACGCTCAGGAACAGAACAAATCATCGTGCTCATCACACAATTATTTGTCCTGGGTGGAGATCGAACCCACGACCTCCGGCTTAGAAGTCAGGGTCACTAACCACTAGACCAACAGCCACATCGAAAGCCGATAAGTTCTTCCATTGCTCTTCACGGAGTGAGTAAGATCACTAGAGTCCAAACCCTTCACTTATGACTCTTAAGTTGCAGGTGTCAAAGGGCAGCGTTAGTTACTTGCCATCAGGGCCTCAATTCTGCTATTTTATGTCAAGCCACTGTCATTCCATTGACACGCTATTGAGATGCCATTAAGACGCCTTTGACATCGGTCAAAATATCAGTCTTCTACTAACATAAATTCACATTGTCAATAGACTGTCTATAAAGTAATATGGGTCATCAATTGCCATACCTGGAAAATTAAATACATCATTTTCTTACAAATTTTTAAATGTACCATTTACCAAACTATTAAAAAGACATTTGTATCAGTGGCAGTTTAGTTACAAGTCATCCATTGGTCTTACATAGTTAGTAGAATACGAAAGTGCAAAACTATTCCAACGACAGTCTATTGATACAATATTAAAATAGCAGAATTAAGGGCCAGGTAACCCGTCTGCTCGTTTACCCTCCTATGCAAAAAAAAGACATATTTATTATCATCTAAGGAAGACACACCGAGTACAGAGTAACTAAATACTACTGTATTGCATCGCGCGACCCAAGATCTCGCGTTAGTGTTTATTGTATGTAATTCTCGCGGCTAGCCAGGCATGATCACCTCGCCTGGTCATTGGAACCTCCATTTGTGTAAAGGGGCTAAGGACTTGTTCCTGCACAACACATCCATACTTAAATTGTAAAAAATGAGAAAATAAATTTGTTTTCACACCTAAACCACTAAATCGACTTTGAAAACTCTTTCACCAATGGAAGCTACATTACCAGCGAGTAACATACTACTACTTTTTACGCACGCACACACGACATACACGCGTTCGGAGCCGCGGGTAAAAGCTAGTAAAGAGTTTATAGTCTAAAACAATTACTCTCAAATAATCTCCAGAAACCAGAGCAATTTCTTTTAATTGACAATTCGTAATGAGATTAAAATGTTTTTTTATTTTTATTTTCAGGAAGCTAGATGTCGTAACCCACCGACTGCTCCACAGAAAATCGAAAGAGTCATAACGCTGTGTCAGGATGAGATCAAATTATCTATATTAAGAGGTGAGAAATTCCACTTTAAGCTGTTACATATTTTTCTAAGGTCACAACAGATTTCTACTGCAATGCATCCTAGAGAATCTTTTCCAGGAGACTTTAAACAGTATAAGCATATTATACTAACTATGCAAGTAAATAATAGCAACAGAAGGAGTGGAACATAAATCGACTTAATGTTTGAAAAACAGAAATTAATTATTTAATCAACGGTTCAGGAAGAAACTATAAGGTTATTAAAAAGACTTACAAATATCGATGCTATAATTGAGGATGTAAAGGATAAGATGACATTTCGGTTATTACTATTATGATATGATAGTGGCTAGAAAATATTTAAAAAATCAGAGCGGTAATACAACACTACTAGTGCACCTAATTTTGTACTGTTCCAAAAGTTTTGAGTAAGGTTATTTTGCGAATGCGTTTGGTCTGATTTATTTACAATCTTTATTTTTCAAATTAAATTACACATAATAATGTAGTTAACATAAGTTGATTAATACGACAGAGCAATTTATAGAGACAATAAAATCTAAAAAAAAAAAAAGACTAATTGACGACTGTCAGAAAGTACTACAGAGGGTTAATTCTCGTAATAAAAGTTCGTTCAAAATTCAGTTCCGATCTACTCTCGACCTCACAAATTTCATAAAAGGTATTTTTGTAGTAAAGTTTTACTAAGACTAGGCTTCATATCCGTGGTGGTGACGGATTAAGAATACGGAGTGCCACCACCCCTGTTCATCTCGTGGGTGTCGTAAGAGCCGACTAAGGGAGCAAACTACGCAGGACAACGACACTGCAAAGAGAAGGTAAACTTGACAGAAACCCTATACCAACCCGTCTAGCCACCGTGGTATAGTAGGCAAAACCTCCTTTCTAAGGAGAGGCCGATGTCCAGCAGTGGACTTATTATTATTATTATTCAATTCATTGTCAAATACCTTTTATGACATTTGTGAGATCGAAAGTTGATCCGAACTGAATTATTAACGAAATTTTATTTCAAGAATTGGACTGTTAGATTTAAAAACCTATCAAAACTTTCATCAAAACATCTATGAAGTATGTCAATAGTATAAAATTTAGGTACACACTACTGTAAGACAGAATATGTTTAATTTATTAGTTTTACTTAAGTTAGGATATGTTAACACCAATTTAATTGTTGCAAGACCCATTTTTTGTATGTCCGGCAATAAAATCCTGCAATAAATGTCCGGAAAATTGTCAAAGCTAAGCCTACATTTGCAGAAACAGTTACCTATAATTACTTCCAGGCCATAATTAACACAAATTAAAATATCGTTAGTGGTCTCTAATTACTAATTAACTTGCCAACTGTAAAACAAATATTGGTAAAAAATTTTAAGGTATTTTATTCACTTTTTACTACGTTAAGTAGCATTTATTTTAGAACGTGCAACCGGTTTGATATTTAATACAGATTTTAATACAGCAAAATGGAAGGTTCGAGGAAGTATTAATATTAATTCTAGTAAGACCTACTGCACTAAATTTGGGTGATACATTTATTTACTAGTATAATATATATCATACTTGTAATTACTTTGAGTCTGAGCCATATTTATGTCCATGTATTATAAAATACGAGGTAAGCAAGAAGGCAAACTTGCTTTACCTTTTTGCCAACAGAAGAAAAATACAAAACAAAAATTAAGTACTAAGCGTAATAGTTCACTTAAACTCATTAGTATTCTGTGGCCATTTTATTGCACAAAACAGCATTCAAATTTCGAACGACAGTTACCAAAAACTAGAAAGCTTTTTTTAAGGCTCTTTGTTTTGTTGCACCTGAAAACAAGTATCTAAACGTATTTGTCTATGGTGCCATGTAAGTATATGTAGAAGATATTTTAAGAAGAGCTGCGTTATATTACGTATAGTGAACGTGGAACGTTCATTGCATTCACTTTCACTGAGAACTGACCTTGACAACCAGTGACCGTGACTGATCGTGTTTTGATAGCGATTATAATTAAACTTTGTCGTAAGTTTAGATAAAACCTAATATACATATATTTCTAAAAATGAAAAAACAAATACCGACACATGCTTTAATTATCTTTTCTAGTTTTTGGTTTAGTTAGGAATTATATTGTGTGAATTATCAAATATAAAAATTCCAAAGAATGAAATTAGTGTTTAGAAATACTTATAGATATGTTACAAAAAAAAAAAATACAATGAGCTAAAATATCGAAATTCGTGTAGTCTTATTATTACAACATCACAACAATTAAATCCACACATTTAATGGTTATAAGTTTTAACTTACTTGTATAAGAGACTCAAAATGTTTCGAGGTTGAATCCATATACAGTTCTACAGTAATACAGTTCAACCTCGATTATATTATATATATATATAAAATTTATATTATAACATTTGCAAATAACTAAACGTAAAATTTTGGTTAAAAATTTAAAATAATTTTTAGTTAAATTAATGCACTAATATGTAGTGTTAAAAAATAAAATATGCTTAGGAAAAAATATTCTGAGGTATCATCGTTAAAGAATACACGTATTTTAAGTTTACCTGCGGGATAACTTAAAGTACATAAGTATCTAATAAAGAGCAAAGTTTAAAACGGAAGCCTCAATCATCTTCCCTTCACTGTAAATTCGATGCAGCTTAAATTCAATAACCAGCAATTACTGTCACTCACAAGGACCTTTGAGATATTGAATGAGCTATTTTAACTTATTATTGTACACTCAGAAGTAATTGTTGGTAATTTTGAGGTTACTTCTGTACTTCCTCTTCCGAATAGTTCTTCATTTCGTCATTCACGATATAGTAATTTATCAGTACAATCGTATGTCATACACGTAGTTATGCACTCATAGTACATAACTTTTTCAGATTTTGTTACAATTGTATTAATAGCCATTCTCTAGGCTCATTCTGAAAACAATTCTAAAAGATTTTTTGGGACTTTTATACAGGCTGCAGTTTTCTGCCGTTGTTCAACGCAACAAAATTTCCATCCCGTCACTTCAATAACTGAAACTCGACTACTGAGCGTTTTTCATGTTTTTTTTTATCTGTGGAACGTTACTTTCCTACCAAGACGATCTTGCAACCCCTTAATAGTTGAGGTTCCAACCTCAAAGGCTGGCAACGCAATTGTGACTCTTTGAGTTAATGTCCACGGTCGGCGCTGGTCACTTACCAGGTGACACATTTGCTCGTTTATCCCTATCTCATATAATAGCATCACTAAAAAACCCCCCGACACAAAAAAAACTACACAATTGCTTATTGAGACTGTTCTAATAAGCCCAAACATGGTATATAGGCCGTAATTTTCTAAAGATTTAGCTATCACGCAGACTATTTGATGCAGCAGCGAGTTCCAGGTTACCATGTCGTGGAAATACCAGCAAAGTAACAGTATACCAAATTACAGATCAATCGGACCTGTAGATTTTAGTCAGATCTAATCATCACCTAGGAAGTGAGCTGACGATCTTCAAAATTTTTAGCTAAGAACCATCTCGTTCACATCGGCTTTCGAACAAAAACATCCGCATCGAAATTGGTCCATCCATTCGGGAGCTATATTGCTTTAGACAAACAGACATATACACAGATAGGCAGACACACAGGTTAAACTTATAAAACCCCTCTTTTCCGTCGGGGGTTAAAAACATGATCAGATTGCCATGTGTAATGAGTAAGTGAGTGATTTAAAAGGGATTTAAAAGAATAGTTATTTTATTTTTTTAAATCTAGACAGAACAGATCAAGAACTTAAATGATTCAATACACTAACAGATCTGACTCTATCTCCAAACTCTTATCCTACTATCTATCTATGTATATAGATATATCCTACTATCTATCTATGGATATAGATATGATTTAAGATCATTGAGTACAAAGGCATCTCATCATCATAATATCGAATTGTTACACAAACTATAACCTTATTGTGTGTTCTACATATTATGTATACCGTTAAGAAAAGTTACGCCCACCATAACCGTGACACAGATACATACGTCCAAACATTGACCGTATCGAATCCTGTAGAATTGTTTCTACAAAGTAGACTGTACAGGGCATCTAACAACGAGATGAAAATAATAAAGCCTTAACTGCAACATAATGTACGTACGTGAAGCGTCCTCAATACATATTGACAAGTCGAACTCTGCTGAAAAATGAGATAACCTGTTGAGGTACCGTTGTTTTGTTAAAAAAAAGGTTAAAAAAGATTACTGCACTGTGAGTCTCGCAAGCGATTTAACAACACAGCACATACGACGTATTATACGTAAAAATAAAAAAAAAAGCTACGTTACGCCTTCCCAATAACTGCTAAAACTAACGATCGGTCAGCGTATGTATGTTAACATGTTCTCTCTAATTTTGAAAACCATTGAAACTCTGAAACTATAGGAACTCTCCATTGAACTGTAAACTCGACGGAAAGGGGCCTTCTAAAATATTTTTATTAAGACTAATAGAATTGCTTGTTTACTGGTAAAAACATAAGACCCACTGCTAGAATTAATTTTGTACACAATACAAAACTAATGAATAACATCAAACCGCTTACTTTTTTGAATTGACCTTTCCAGACGCGTACGTGGGCAACACATTTATAAGGAAGGTTGTATCTTTTAACTGTATTGTCTGAGATCATTTTCTGAGTCATGCGTCCACAGTGGATAATATACCATTCATGTCCAATAATTACTTACTTTGTGACATAATATTTTCTATGTAAAGCAGAACTTGGAAAGAAAATTCTAACAGAACTAAAAGTTATCACAGCTGTATTTAGTATTTGTAGGTTATTTCAAATGATTAACTTTAAGTGATTTTATAATTTAATATAGAAATTAATTCAATCAGTTGCTGTTACATGCCTTTATGATGTTTCGATTAGGTCACACTGATCGTGGTTACATGCTGACTCCAGTGACCACGGTCACGGTGTGTGACTTGTTGTTAAATCTCTTATATAT